ATCACAACCACTGCTGCTCCTACCAAACCAGAGATCACAACCACTGCTGCTCCCACTAAACCAGAGCCCACAACCACTGCTGCTCCTACCAAAGGAGAGCCTAAAACCACTGCTGCTCCTACTAAACCAGAGATCACAACAACCACTGCTCCTACTAAAGCAGAACCTACAACCACTGTTGCTCCTACTAAACCAGAGATCACAACCACTGCTGCTCCTACCAAACTAGAGATCACAACCACTGCTGCTCCTACCAAAGCAGAGCCTACAACCACTGTTGCTTCTACTAAACCAGAGATCACAACCACTGCTGCTCCTACCAAACTAGAGATCACAACCACTGCTGCTCCTACCAAAGCAGAGCCTACAACCACTGCTGCTCCTACTAAACCAGAGATCACTACCACTGCTGCTCCTACTAAACCAGAGATCACAACCACTGCTGCTCCTACTAAACCAGAGATCACAACCACTGCTGCTCCTACTAAACCAAAGATCAAAACCACTGCTGCTCCTACCAAACCACAGATCACAACCACTGCTGGTCCTACCAAACCAGAGATCATAACCACTGCTGCTCATACCAAAGCAGTGATCACAACCACTTCTGCTCCTACCAAAGCAGAGCGTACAACCACTTCTGCCCCTACCAAAGCAGAGCGTACAACCACTGCTGCTCCTACCAAAGCAGAACCTACAACCACTGCTGCCCTTACCAAAGCAGAACCTACAACCACTGCTGCTCCTTCCAAAGCAGAATCTACAACCACTGTTGCTCCTACCAAAGCAGAACCTACAACCACTGCTTTTCCTACCAAAGCAGAACCTACAACAACTGCTGCTCCTACCAAACAAGAGCCTACAACCACTGCTGCTCCTACTAAACCAGAGATCACAAGCACTGCTGCTCCTACTAAGCCAGATATCACAACCAGTGCTGCTCCTACCAAACCAGAGATCACAACCACTGCTGCTCCCACTAAACCAGAACCTACAACCACTGCTGCTCCTACCAAAGCAGAGATCACAACCACCGCTGCTCCTACCAAAGCAAAACCTACAACAACTGCTGCTCCTACCAAAGCAGAATCTACAACCACTGCTGCTNAGCAACCAACCATCCAAGCAACCAGCCAGTCAAACCACCCAGCAACCAACCATCCAAGCAACCAGCCAGTCAATCACCAAGCAACCAGCGAGGCAAACCACCATCCAAGTAACCAGCGACTAGAGGCAAACCACCAAGCAACCAACCATCTAAGCAAGCAGCGAGGCAAACCACCCAGCAACCGACCAACCAACCGTCCAACCGTCCAAGCAACCAGCGAGTCAAACCAACCAGCAAATAATGATAATAATTTATTAATTTATTAATTTATATAGTGTGCAGTTAAACACACTGTATTCCTACCTTCAGACGGATCGTCTTTCTTCAACATCAAAGCTCCAGATGACAAATGGTATAAACCAGACTCTTTGATTTGTTTGTCACGTGATACATCTCTCTTCGGTCTATGGTTRTTACCATGGGGACAGCCAATAGCGCACTTCGATGTATTTGAGGTTTTGTGACAAACCACAAGCAAACARTGTAGGTACACTACAGGGTAGTCAGCAATGAATCGAAACGCACCAATGGTGAAATTTTGGACTCTATTCGGAGAGTAATTGTATTCCATGGTTTCATCTTTTGCGCATCTACGAATTGAAAAACAAAAACAGATATAATGTGAATGCCCGGGCTCCGTGTGAAAAATTTGCTTAAATAACCATATATAGATATGCAAAGGCCGCGTTATCACTGTTTTTATTACAGCAAAGTTGATAACATTTGTTGCATCAAAACAGCGAGGGATGGACAGACAAACAACACCAAGCAACAACATAAGTAACTGATAATAATCACTGGATCAAGCGAATTATTTGAATCGAGTCAACCAACAACAAGCCAAGACAATGTGTTTACAAATCAATGCTCTCTTAATAGAATTGCTCCAGGTTACTCTTTTCTTTTTGAGCGGTGCCAAAAGTTTCAAAGAGCTAACAAATAACATTCAAATACAATTAATTAAACTGCTCGTCATCAATAGACAAAACCTCCACATATCAGGCAAACAATACAAATAAAAAAGCATGAAATAAACAAAGAACAGCAGCACGAAAACGTGCAATCTGTGTGAAACAAAACAAAACAAAAACAAAAAACAACAAGTCTTACCCGTTGTCAAGAAATAGGTAACTAGGGACTGTCTTTTCGCTATGGGTTGTCGTTGCTAAGCACTTTTCAGCAAAGACGTGGAGACCACCTTTGGATGATTTCACTTCGTATCGTACGAATACAGGATCATTGAGCTGGACTTTGATTGGATAATCACTTGGYTGGTATTTGGTGATGTACTCCTTATCGCGATACAAGTCCATCGTGAACGTGAAATTGCCAAACGAACCTGAAACATGTTTATTATTATGAATAACTCGTGCTGTGGTTAGATGTATGGGAAACCCACCGGGTATATACAGGAAAGACACCGAATATATAGGGGCAAACCCACCGGATATTTACGGGAAACCTACCGGATGTGTACGGGGATTACTTATTGGGGTATGCGGGATAGAAACGCCATGGGTGTATACGGAAAAACCCACCGGATGTATACGGGAAACCCACAGGATGTATACGGGTAAACGTATTGGAAGTATGCCAGATAGAAACGCCCTGGTTGTATAGGAGAAACTCTCTGGATGTATACCGGAAGCTCCTCGGGTGTATACGGGAATCCCACCGGATGTATACGAGAAACACACCGGGAAACCCACAGGATGTATACAGGAAAACTTGCTGGGTGCATACGGGATCGAAACCCCCGGGGTATATACGGGAAATTCACKGGGYATTCTGGGAGATGTCATACCTTCCACCACATCGACTCTCCTGCGAGGTTCRAATCTCGTTGAACTCACATACTTTTTTCTGTTGTAAGTACAATTGAATGGCAACTCCAAGTTGCTGTCACGTGTTATCGTGCTATTTGATRACTGACCACTTGTATTGAAGGCTCTTACSGCGTTCTTGTAAGTAATGGTGTCAGCGGTCTCTTCAATCGTGGTTCCACATGCATTTAAGTCAGTTTTTAGGCCAATTTTGTCTCCACTTACTTGAGCACGACATGTTTTGTGTCTTAAGTGGAAGTCTTCTGGCTTAAGGTGTGGATATTTRCGTGYATTGATGAYTATTTCCATGTAATTCTCGCTGCATGTTATGCTCGTTTGATAAATCTAAGGACACACAAACAAGTATTAGAAGGAGCCGACGTGTTCCTGGAAGAAATATATCTGTTCTTATGTCCCAGCCAGCTGTAAGTCACAACTGGTTGACAGCGCCGAGAAATCACCAGGAAAAATGAAGTCTCCAGGCAAGAAATACTTTTGCCAGGAAAATAATAATTTTCTAACCAACAAAATATATGCCGATAAGCCGTTTTTGACCTTAAAAACGTTTTGCAGGAACAAAATTATCTTGAAGAAGGAGTCCGGGGTAGGGTATGTAAAATCAAAAAATTGGTTTGGGATAGGGTAAGGGTTTTGACAGTCGTGCGGCACACCCCTACCCAAGTGTAGTATTGTAAAGTGTAGTTCATGGGTTTATGAAAAACACGCTGCCGTAATTACCCATGTAAGATTTCGGTCTCAGATTCTATATTCGATCGTTTGGAACACGACAACGATTGTTCGTGTGATCGATCTAATAATTAATAACTTTAGTGCCAATCAAATTGTTTAAACTATACAACAACAATTTAATCCATGAAAGRCTCCATGGATGAATTAATTGTTACGTGGTTGGGATTTTCTGTTTGTTGACGAGATTACTTGTCTTTGTTTTCGACTATTCGTGGGCGGAAATTTCAATGTTTGGTGCTTGTWACTAGATGTACAAGGATTTAGATTTTCTTTGCTTTACCGGTCTATTCACACGCAACTAAACACGAAACATAAAATACCTGGATCACCAAGTGATCTTAACTTTTTAATGATTACAGCAGTTTTGATTAATGTGATTTCAGTAAGGTGGGAACTAACGGTAAACTAGTGTGAGCTGCGTCGGTGTTTCTAAAGAAACAGTTGTGTAAAAACATAAATTTTTAACACCGTAAAAAAGTAGGTGAAACAGCTGACTGACGTTTCGGACGTTAATCTTCGTCGGAGAAGAAATGAGATTCTTTTTACACAAACACAACTGTAATTTTCAGTAACACGTGAAAGAAATTGTTATACTTAAATTACACCGAAAAACAAAGAAAAACAGTCAAAATAAGAGCAATGAAAGCGTATTTCACAGGTTATTGAAAACCACTTCATCAACCGCGAAACAATCAGTAATCAAGAAAACACCGAAAGCAACAAGTACTAAATTGTATAGTCACGGGTTATTGAACAATCCATCAATTAGCTTTAAATTGGGTTATGGTTACATGAATTACCGTTCTATATTTTCACTGATGAAAAAATCCTTTATACTATTCAAAATAAATACTGGCTTAAACAGGTGATTATATCGCTACTTTTCGATCATGCAATCTTCGCTTAACTATTAATTCTCTTCGTCAACTGCTTTTTTTGTAACAAATGTAGATTTAAAAATGATTTGAAATATGGATGCAATATGGGCAAAGTCTCCACAAGTACGAAATGTCAAGCTATCAAAACATATAATGAGTTTTGGACCAGTTGGTTCTCTTCCTGTGACTTTTAGTCAATTTGTTTATTTCACGTCTCACCTCGACAACTGTAGAGCTGGTCACCACAGCAACTGAACTTGCTGAASGAGAAACCAATGTAGCAAAACTCGACGGGAGCTGTATCGCTGGCGTAGCTTGAACTGTTGCTACGTAACTTGGGGTTGACTTGATTACCACGGTACTAAAACTAGGCGTCGCCTGCAAACCACTTGAGATCGAATTTCCTTGGACACCSATGTGAATAAGTGAAACAAATGCCGCCACAGCGAAACGATAAAAGCTTCTCATTTTACCAACAAAAACAAACTTGTTTATACAAAATGTACTTACTGTATASTAACTGTACCGAATTAACTCTATCGAAACTTTGACTCACTTTCGAACCTTTTATTTAATAGGTATTTCCTTCCTGTGTTCCTATTGGTCAATGGGATCTGTCAGAACGTCTTTATATTTCGTTTAAAGGTTTTCTATTGGTTAATGTGATCTTATGAATAGCATACTTTAGATTGCAATGAAAATAGGATTTAATTAGCCATAAAAATAGATCATAATAATCCGTGTTTAAATAAATTTTCAACCAAACTTGAAGGAACAAAAAAWKTGTTTGTTTTGTAGAGGTGTTYAATACGCATTTTGCTCATATGTTGTGGTTTCCAGGGTATATAGTAATCTAAGCTAAAAAGGCCACTTTAACGATAATTTGCTACACGCACGCATATTATAATGTACATTCAGCTCTTTTTCGAAATATGATCATATATATATTGTTTGATCATTGATGGCATCGAATTGAAGTTGAAACAGTTGACACGGATTAAAAAGCAGTTGTCACTTAGAGTTCCATTAGTATCAGATCAGTAAAATGAATATAATCAATGTAGGATAACACATTTTAAAAACGCTTAAACCAATTCAAACTGAACCAAACAGGTACTGTTTTATCTGCTTTGATGTAGGTTTCACAAAGTAGCTTAATCTCATAATTTAATTAATTTTTTTTCAATGTGTACATAAAAATATAATAAGGAATTTCTAGTTTTGATCTCAGTTTCAACTTAAATTTTTGCCGACGACAAAACTTTGTCTTTAGATACTCCTCAGCACTGCTTTCTGCCATGATATGAAATTCTTCCCTTAATAGACAATTGATGAATCGAAGCGATTGTTTTAGTTTAGGTTCTTTTTTTCTCAATCAGTGATAAGAACCTCCAAAGAGGTTTAATGAATGTGTTTTTGTTATCTTTAAACCGGGAAAGTTCAAAGTCAATGCAACAACAAGAACAACAACAACAACAACAACATATAAATGTACCAATGGATAATCACCATGAGGGGTATTACAGGAACAGCTGTATCTGCACTTGGTATAGTTGAATACAGAAGAGCTATTATTGTATGATTTTAAAACTACTGAGTTTGAGTCAAACCAAGGTTAAGAATTTTTTTAAAACCAATGACTTAAAACTTAATGATGCTGTAGACAGCGAAACTTAAAACCGATGACTTAAAACTTAATGATGCTGTAGACAGCGAAACTTAATGATGCTGTAGACAGCGAAAGCTCGGAATCATATATTTTTGTTGTAAACTCGATCTACACACTTAGCGGCTCCGGCTACACTTTGTATTTTCATCACATCATTAACATTTAAAAAGTCTGAGGCCATTTGTACAAGGATGAATGGCGCTTCCCATCGGATATCCTACCCAACGGATAAATCCAAACAGAATCTAAGCTTTGGTTTAATCGGTGGATAACTTTATGGCAACCTTCGTACAACAACATCTTTTTAATGTTAAAATGTTTTCGTACGCCTAGGATTCATTATAAACATCTTTTTAGATACTGCAAAGTAAGGTGATTGACAGTCTGGCTTACCAATAAATTCATTTGAAAACTAAATGCGTTTTTATATTTTTAATTTGTATATTTAGATTTCGTCAAAACTTTTTCCCCTGCTAACAACGCTTCTCTTCCCTTAACAATGAACTCATTAATCCATGCGGCTTCCTAATGTCAATAAAGTTTTTACCATGACCTAATCATCTTTTTATGTGTGAAATTCAACATATTTTCACGTAGTTGTCAGTTATAAGCCTTTCAGTACCGTAAAGCTTTGTTTGAAGAGCGATTACTGTTTTAGTGGAAAACAACTTTGATGTCAACAAGAAGTCAAATATATACAGTCGCCATTTTGAATTGACATTATTACCAATAGAATTCTGAGCTTTACGTCACCTGTGGTTTGCAATGCATTGTGGGATCAGTTTCTAGAGAAAACAAAAGAGAACCGCCATTTCTGTCCCAAACATGTCCTACAATGCATTGCGTCTAAGGAAGATGACTCAAAAGCTTCAGAGGTCTATACAGACGCCATAAAACTATGGGATGTCCTAGCGGCACAAAACAATACGCGAAAAGCATAAATACCGCATTTGGATGATTTGAACTAAACACGAGATTATTCAAAGAAAGTGATTTTTAGGTACCATTCTTTAGTAACGTTAATTGCTTTTGCTTGACATCCCGTACTGAAGTAATTTCTTCATAATTTAAGATGGCGGGCGTATGGTTATTGTCCATAATTCTTCTGTTGTTGTTGTTATTGTTGTTGTAGTTCTCTTTCTATTCGTTATTTTCTTCTGTAACGGTTTGACTTCTCGTATACTTCTCCCTTTGAGCAGGGGGTTTCATGAGTAGTGTTCCAGCTTCGTTTTGCGCTTTTTTAAAAGACTGTGAAGAAGGCYACTTCATTCACACCGTGTTTAAACAACTGAACTATCCGAAAATGTGTTTACCCATTCAATTAAGAAAAATAAGGTTTACTATTTCATTGGCAGAATCTCTGGAACTTTCTTCTTCTTGTTCTTCTTTCTTCTTGTTCTTGTAGCTTCTTCTTCTTTTTCACTTTTTCTATTAACTCAGTATACTGCTCAGTATATTGCTCATTTTCAGCTATTGTTATKAGGATTATATTTTCATGATTAATTCAAGCTAACCATATTCATGTTACGCTTAAACCAAAAATATAAACTTCCAGGACTTGTTGTGCAACTGAGTGAGSAAATTGACAATCCAAGACCAATGCGCTGTCGTCCCGTTAATGATTAAACTAGTTGTAATCCTGATCGCCAACTACATGTATCATATATCACTGAAACTTGCCGTTCAAATCCTCGACAAATTCTCCGTAAATAAGAACAAATAGCGGCTTACTATGAAGTGTTTGACAATAATTTATTGTTTATTAGTTTTTCACARTGTTTTAGTATTATCTAAAGGTATTTCTGTTGCTAGTTGTGAACCTATTTCAGCTGAGAATCGAAAATGCTTAGGCGAGCTTCTTCCGTACCACTTTACATCAACAATCCTCGCWGAAGACTCAACAAATCAACAGGAAATTCAAAAGAATTTAAAACTATGGGAAGGACTACGATTTCTRCCAAAGTGCTGGTCTGTTTTACAGCCTCTTCTTTGTCAGATTTATGTTCCTAAGTGTGAAAATTCGTCCGTCACTCCACCATGTCGAGAACAGTGTCTAGCTACTCGTAAACCTTGTTCTGTTGTGGAACGCTACAAGGAATGGCCGGAGTTTCTAACGTGTGAAAGATTCCCGCCAGGACGTTGTAACGGAACRGTAAGTTTTCTTTAAACTATTAGTAGAATCAAACTACTTTTTAAACTTTGTTTATGTTTACCAAACAAATGGCTTTAAAATGTTTGATGSTTTCTGAAAAACGAAACGATTCGTCAAATTTTTGTTTAGAATTTAAGTGACTTTCTTCTCATAACCGCACAACTTTTATAAGACTCGAAAGAGTTCTCGAAACTATAAAAAGACATAAATTTTCGCCAAGGCATAACTAAAATGTAAAATCAATTAAAAATTCACCTCGGACATTTTTCCAGTTTTGATTTGAAAGCTAAATAACCTYTTCATTGACCTTTGCAGTCTAGTGTTTAGACAATTGTTTAAATTAATTGTTCTTTGATCGTACATCTCGTATTAACATTCAATGTTTACTATCCTAGATTATTTCATTAGATGTTTGATAGTCTCGGTGAAATATTCAAAACTGTATATGACGGATCTCTGATGCCATCCCAACATGAACGGAACTGAAGACAACGYCACCGAGTCAAATCTAATGCAACATGACGACGTATCATTAGGAAAAACGTAGATAACGTTAACGCAGCACAGTTCATGTAGCACTAACGAAATTGTTCCTGTCACAAGCACAAGCATAGAGCGGCATAACACAGAAGAAAACAAGGCAGAACAACATAACTATATACAACACAACGCAATACATCGCAACACACTAACACACACAATAACATAGCACATATATATTTATATGGTCGTATATATATACGAAAAATAGTTTTAATCTCGACTTGTTTCGGCATTTCACAAGACAACTGCTAAAATTAACAGACAGCACATTGAACTAATAGAAGATGGGCAGACATATTATACAACACCACAAATCGGACGCAGTACAACTCTTGGCAAAGAGTACAATACAGCGAGGAATAGCGTTTAATGTATGCTAATGTAATATTTAGATCGAAAGACTGCAATTAAATGGTTCAGCTTGTCGATCGCCGTTGGTGGAGACGGACCATACACCCAGCTGGTACGAGGGTATAGAGGGCTGTGGCATTCAGTGCAGAAACCCTATATTCAGCCAGGAAGAACACACTAGGATTCATCGATTTGTTGCAGCGTTTGGTGCACTTACAACCTTTTGTACTATGTTTACCATTGTAAGTTTGCTTCCCATTTGAAAAACATGTACTATCAAAAATAGTTATTTTGATAATCTTTAAGGCCCGTTTACACTTGCGATTTTTGCATCGTGATAATCGCCACTAAAATCGCGCAACTAAATTCGTATTTGTAAACAGCCCTGCCAATTTTTGCAGCCGATTTTCAAAAGCTATGCATGTTCGAAACTCAGTTGAGCCCCGAGAATCTCTCTGGAAAAATCGCAAGAGTAAACGTGCCTTTACACACATTGTAAAAGACTTAACTTTTATTAGCTAACTATAAAGACACACGCAAACAAACCGTTGCACAGGATATATTAATCACTGATTTTGTTCATCATTATCAACGCTTATATCATCTATACCATTATCGTCTTCAGACTCACTATAGTTGCTATGGTCCTCTGAAGCTTTTACGTCATATACCGTATACGCAATGCATTGTACAAACATGGCGGAATTCTTTTTTGCAGAAGTTGATCCCACAATGCATTGCAAATCACAGGTGACGTAAAAGCTTCAGGAGTCTATTATCAACGTCATTGTGTTTCTATCTATAGGTAACATTCTTAATCGACTGGAAATCGCAATGTCGTTACCCAAGTGTTATCCTTTTCTACATGAACAGTTGTTTCTGTGTTGCGTCCGTTGGTTTTCTGATTCAGTTCTGCGATGGTGCGAGAGATAAAGTTGTCTGTAGAAGCGATGATACCATGAGACTGGGTGAACCAAGGTATGGTTAAATAGCCCCTGTGAACCAGGCTTACAACCAATTAACTCACCAACTCACCCGACAACCAACAAATTCACCAACCCACCCACTGATCTACCAACTCAACAACCAACCAACCTACCCACCAATCGATCCACCAACCAACCTACCAATCCACCCACCAATCAACCAACCAACCCACCCACCAATCGATCCACCAACCAACCAACCTACCAATCAACCAACCAACCCATCCACCAATCGATCCACCAACCAACCTACCAATCCACCCACCAATCCACCAACCAACCCACCCACCAATCGATCTACCAAACAACCAACCTACCAATCA